GCTTGGCAAGCTTGGATTTGGATTTAGAAGAAAAATCTCCTTTTTCGACTTGTCCGATTTTAAGATAGCGTCTGGCTTGCTTTTTAATCTACTCAACACATTTTCTCCAACACGCAGCAGAGTGTAAAATTTATTTTACAGTGCTGGTATAGAAGTAGGTCATTTGCAATGAAAATGACGGAGCAGTGTCTTTTAATTTAGTCTGCTTTTCTGTCTGCACATAAGCCGAGTAAACCCCAGCGTACATGTCATTCACCACTAGTTCAAACATGACTCAGTGTGAGCCTGCAAAGACATGTTTATTTACGCACTTTCAGAAAAAAACACCTAAACACGAAATAAAATGCTGTGTGTGTGTGTGTGTATACGCACATTTATGTCCTATATTGTCGAAATGAGAGGTGTGAGACTAATCAGGGGTTTGCCCCGGGGAGTTTCCAGTTTGGTGGAATGCACTATTGTCAGGGCGGATGTGGCAGCTGTGAGGGGTTACTTTGTGGTATTTATGGTCAGACTGGGGATGATTAGCTACACATTATCTACTCTGCCTCACTGTCACCACATCATACCACAGAGCAATATGCTGATCAGTGTCCACAAACCTGTAGAATGTATGATCCTCCTCTAAGTGTGTGAGTGCTGAGTGTGTGGCCCCCTGACCTGCCGCTGAACTCTGCCCCACTAAGAAATCAATTGTGGTGCATGTCGCTTGTGAGGTTGAAGTCTTGACACTAAAAATCCGAATCATGTGGCAAGTCAAGACTGACAAGTACTAAGCCGAGCACAAGTCATAAATGTTTTGCTTGTCAACAAAAGTACTGAAAAATATTAGAAGAAGGCAGAAGTACTGATACATGAATAATAATAATACTGAAAACAGCCCAGAGAGCAAACTGAGAGTCCGGGGTCACCTCAGTAGTGTAATAATATGTGCTAAATGTCACAATTTGCATTTTATGTATTCATTTATTTGAGTATATTCTGTTTTCCCTTCCTCCTTTCACACTGTGTCTATGTCTGTCACTTTCACTTTCTCGCTCTGTCTCACTATGCTTTTGCTCTCCCCACCCACACGTCGACAAACAAACTCCATCTCTCTTACTCTCTCTTACCTGGTCCCTTTTTTAAAACACTGTTCATCACTGGCCATGTGCCTCTAAAATTGGTGATTTTTGAATTTTTTAGATAAATGGAGGATAATACTTTTTAAGCTAACAAAAACATTTAAAAACCTATTAAAGGTTCTGAAACAAATACATTGACACAGCACTAAGAATGGTCCTGCTTTATTAACTCTTAAAAACTTCTTTAACTTTTACTTTACCATCTTTTTTACTTTTACTTACAGTACATGCAAGCTTTTGAGTTTGGGTGGCCTTAAATCTCTGGGGTGAAGACACTGTGTGTTGGCCTGGGGCCTGTGTAGACTGTTGTTTTTGAGCAGGGGATTCTGCACAGATGTTTTTTGTCAGGGGAGCTATATATATAATTGATCCAGGGCTGGGTTAGCCTTGCTACACAAGCAAGCTCCAGAGTGTACTGTACCTTGTACTGTTGTGTTTAAAAATACCTATATAAGGCTTTTTCATATATATATTCTTTTGTGATACATACACGAGAAAAATCTGAAGAAATGAGTGGTGAAGCAACCAATGCAGATGCTTGTACACAGGAGAGATAAATGATGAATGAATGGTTTTATGATAAAACAGCAAAAAGTATATTAAAAGGATGTGAATCACGTAAGGCCTTGACAGTAATCAGATCTCAACCCAGTTGAACACCTGTGGGTGATTGTTGGAACAGCACTCTCCACCACTATCATCAAAACACCAAATGAGGGAATATCTTCTAAATCCTGGTGTGTTTGTTATTCTCTCTCTCACCCTCTCTGTCTTTCACTCGTTCTGTCTCTTGCCCTCTGTGTTTTTGGTGACAGATGGCCACTGTAAGCAGCTCTGTGTCACTGGTTTAGTGGCCTGGTTCCTTTTGGTGTGATTATGTAACTCTAACCTCATCGCCCCTTGCCTCTCCTAGTGTGTCTTTTTACATAACAATTTATGTGGAGCATTGCCTTTTACCAGTTTCATATTCCCTCTGTGAACACATACTGTACATAGAGGTAATGAATTTTGATACTGCAAAATGGTGTCTAACCTGAATCCCCATTGTTTGTGTGAACCATTAAGGAAATTGGAAAAGGTACAAGGGAAAACAACGGATCTCAGTGTTCCACATTAGACTGTGTGTCATCGTGCTCAGAACATCATACACGTAGTCAGAACCTCTCACCTTGTGTTTATTCGTCCTGTGTGATTTCAGTTTTTGCGTTTTTTTTATATATTAAAAGAATACTTTGGCATTTTGGGAAATAAGCGTATTCTTGTTGTCAATATGACCAGCAGAGACTCCAGTAAGTCACTGCGCCCACATATCGCTTAAACAAACGAGATGAAATGTTGATTAGTGCACTTGTTGGTAGGGGTTTTCTTTTTTACTCTTGCTGTTTCCCCTATTACCCGTCTTTATTTCTGCTAAGCTCCAGCTTCATGAGAGTCATGAGACGTGAGAGAGAGAGTAATATTACTGGTATTATATAACTTTTGGCAACACAGTGAATGTGTATTTCCCAAAATGTCAAACTACTTCTTTAAAACAGCAACTTGAAAACGTGATATAAAAAACATAAGAAAATTAAATTTAGAAAATTAGCAAAAGGTCAAATCATACTGGATATGTCTTTTTTAACATGTATTAATGGTCAACACTGTACACGTCTCCTGTCTCAGCTGTCTAAACCTTCCACATCCATAATGCTTCTCTGGTTTCTAACATAGCAGTTATTGCATGGCAGTTCACACAGGGCAGATCTTTGCATGGCTACCTAAAACAGCTGACTAGGTAAATGACATGGTTAATAACCTAACCGTTGCCTTTTTCTGTGCTGCATGGACACTAACCCTGTGTTTGTATCTGTTGGACCACTGTGCTCACACTCCTAACTGCACCCAGCAGCTGGATCAGAACCAGCCTGAGAAGCTGTTGGAGGACCAGAAGAGGGTAGGTACTCACAGCAGCATGGCAGCTTAGGCCAAAAAATTCTTCGGAGTCGTAGTGAAATATCAAGTTTTCTTCATATACCCTTTTGTAATTTTTTTTCTCCTGCTTTTTGTGTTTCTGGTCACTCCCCTTCACTGCACTTCCCCTTAAGGAAACCCAACTGCTCACACCTAACTACTGTTAACTGAAGAGAATAACACTGAATAACTTTTATGACATATTTCCCTCTGCCTCCTTTCTGTAATCATATTTATGGCAATGCAGTGACTTAACAGAGCCTCAGGTGTTTCCATTAAAGAGGCAAGCTTTAATTTTGATATTCCAGAATAATGATATTGATCGGAGTTCATCAATATGTAATTATCATCTCTGAGAGAAGAACGTTATTTAGCAAGCAGGTACAGTATGTTCAACGGCTGTTGATTAAATGTCCATAATAAGTAGTGCTCATCATATTAATCACAGCACTTCATCTTTTTCAGGAGGGTTAGTAATTTCACCTCTAATCTAACATTTATTTTTTATTACTCGCCAACTTCTTTTTTGAAAATTAGTTCAACAACTTCATTAAGTAAAAAAAAAAAACAGCATAATGAAAGTTCTGTCTAGATCAGGGGTAGGCAACCTGCGGCTCCCTGTGGCTTTGACTAAAATGATATGGAAATTAATCATTTTTTTGTCATTGTTATAGACCTAAAGTTATTCTAATATTCTCCAACTGTAAAAATGTCTATATAGGTATAAAATGTCATTGGATATCATCATGGTGGTGACATAGTTTCAGTAATTTGTTAATCATTTAAAGGATGTTCAGACAGGATACATAGGGATTTGTCCAATGGCTCGACTTCAGAAATAAGCCAGTATTCCCCAATGAGCCCAGGGAATAGCTATGACTGATCATTTTGTTGCACACAGCACATACAGTTGATTAACCTCCTGCCAATACAAGATGAGAACACTAGTGTTCTTCACACCTCCTACATAAACTAATGTCGACCCCTAGAGCAGAACTATGGCAGCAGAACTTACATAATGCCCCTGTCGCCTATCAAGGACCACCCACAGTTGACAATTATTTGCACATAATCACGCACAAGCGCACAAAAAAAACCTCTTTCATTTCCTTCACTTTATCCCATGGGAGGTCTGTCAGGTAGCTATGTGCTGTAGTTGCCATAACAACGGCAAAGTCGTGCTGCTGACTGCTTCACAGTGGATGAGTCACAGTGTGGGAGAGCTGGCCCCAGGTCTGTCTAAGTGAAAACCAGGACCTCACATTGTCACTACACGGGGTCACTGCTGCTGATGATAACCATAACAGTGTTGGCTGTGTGGGTGGTAAATGACATAAACAAGTTTTTCCTTATATAGAAATGTAGGAATTATTTAAATTCAGTATATTTGTAGCTGCTCCATAACTAAATAAATTACACAGCGTGGTTGTAATGACAGGAAGGCTATCACTCTGTGAGGGCAGTGGGTGTTTTTTTTTTAGTCTTTTTATGCATTTAAAACACAATATATCACAGATGATGCATGTTTCCCTGTTATACAACATCTCCTCTGACATCATGTCATCACATCCTTCCCTTTCTTTTTTCTCTTGTAGGGCGAGGCACTGAGACAGATTCTGGTGAACCGTTACTATGGCAACTTTCACCGAAGTGGTGGGCGGAGGGACAGCCTGACGTCATTTAGTAATGGCCCCCTCAGTCCGGTTGGACCCGGCAAAAGCCAATCAGGTGGGACACTGCGACTGTTGCTCATTTCGACACCGAACGCAGACGTTTGTTGTTAATTCTTTACAGCAGGAAGTGATAAGTACAGTGAAGTCAGAGCACATAAGGCCATTAAAACACAGATTTCAACATCTCTAATTGAGCTGATGTTTCTGTGAAGCATTGACCAAAGGCCACTGCCAAAGAGAAGCATGACTTTGTTGCCAGTAATGACTACAACTACTATCAGGGGGCAAAGTCTAGACTAACCTTTTCCTGTTCGTCCATCCAAACTGTTTTCTGAATCCGTAGTAAAGCAAGGTTTTCTCAATAATGTTATATAAGGTTGGAACTCTATCTGTCTGGCCCTGAGCCGGTTATCAGCTCCAGAGTTGTGCTGTGAACTGCCCTTTGAGCACGCAGAGCACAACACTCTTATCGCTAACTGATAACATGGTCATTGTGTTATTATCTGCAGTCAAAATACTGAAGCAATGCATCCCTGTGCAGTGTTTCTCTTTCTATTTCAGTTATTGGTTCTGATATGTATGATGTAACATTTATCTATAGATTTTGGAGGACATATACATATATAATGGTATGTGCTACCATTGGCACCAACGTGTCAGTCTGTTTTACATATAAATTCAGTGCTACCATATTGACCTAGTAACCAGAACGGCTTGTCATCTGCTGTGGCACACATGGCGGTATTTTAACATTCAGTGTGACATGGGTGAGAAAACCATAGTGTATGCATAATATTGTGTGTATTATACAGTTAGGATGAATTGCCCAGATGTTGAAATGAAATAAAGATGATGATGATGAAATCAAAGACACAGAGACAATCACCCCAGTTCCCAGTTCACCATCTCCCCCATGTGCACCGAGATGTTGGCAAACTTCCAGACTACAGGATGTATACCCCTCCCCTGTGTGATCCACTTTTTGCTGTTGCTAAGTGACAGGCTGCTACTTCCTGTAAAAACAGCCTCTGCACCTGTTGCAGAAACAAGAGCCAAGCTGAGGATTCCATATGTGCCCTGAAGCTGAGGCCTCAGGGGGGGATGTGCAGGCAAAGTCATGGTTTTGTGATATATAAATATTTACACATATATATCATATTTTATATGGATTATATATATATGTGTGTGTGTGTGTGTGTGTGTGTGTATTATGGAATGAAACCTGACGTTATCAAGGCACTGGTACTATCTTATGTTTTAGATGTGTAATATTCTGTTGCAGTTGAGTCATGCAAAACAACTTAACATATCCGTTCATGCCTTTAAATGCTGCAGGGATTTCATTAACTGAAGGAGAAGCTTTTTATACAATGTAAAGCAGTTGTGGAGCAGATACTGTAAGAATCACCCACATTCTTTCATAGATCAATTACTGATTTACTGACGTTCCTGCTGTAACCGCATTAAACCTTTTGCTGCTTCCTATGCATTGTG